AATTACCTTCTTAGTGAAGAACGCTTTGCCGAGACCGTAGGATTTTTTTGACATTTTTTTGAAATTTTTTTATGCTCGTATGGCTCGTTGAAGATTCGGTTTTAGAGAGATAGATAGATTAGAGAGAGTAGAGAGAAATGGAGTAAAGGATATTTTCGTAATTTGGAGGGTGGTGACTAGTAATAGGGGCGGTAAATAGCAATTCACTTTCCCTTTTCCGGCTAAAAGTTAGAACCCAACATGGATTTGGGGGGGCTGCTGTGACCCACTAACAGCAGCCCCAGCTGTTACTTTATAACCATCAGATCTATTCTAATTAAACATCAATCTAATGGTTGAAGATAAAGAACAAATGCATTTATTTCTCAACACTTCTCTCTCTTCTTCTTCTTTTTTTTTGTTTTTATTTTTCAATATTAATATCATATTATATATTATAAATTAATAATATAATATTAATATATAAATTTATAATATAATATATATAATATAAGATTAATATAAAAATTTATAATGTTATAAAAAAAAATGTTTGTTTTTTTTTTTGTAAAAAATCGGTTAACTGACCGAACCGACCGAATAATTTGGTTCGGTTAAACTTTGGTTTTTGGCACTTAATTCGGTCGATTCGGTTTCTAAAATTTAACAATTCGGTTAATTCAGTTTTCGTACCCCTAGTCACAGGTACGAGGTATTACCGGTAGGACCGTTAATATCGGTGTTATTATCGGAGTAGCAAACATAATGATATATATAAATATGCACAAAAATATATAATACCAAATGCAAAATAGTAAAAAATAAATTAATTAATCATAATCATTAATTTAAACTTTTCAATGAAATAAAAATAAAATATTTTAACTACAATTTAAATTTATGTTTTTAGATTATAATTTTTTTTTATTGGCCGATATTTTCCAGTACAAACTGGTATAATCGTATATTAATTATTTTGTGTGTAATTATACCGTATTAATTGTGGGCATCCGGTATTACCGACCGGTACGGTACGATATTTAAACTAGTGCTTGTAATATAATCGTGCACGTGAATATACTCGTGTACGTGAATTGTTGTTTCTTTTAGAGCTAAATCATTTTTAATGCATTTTTTTAAAGTTAATATGTATCCAATATTTACTATGATATCATCTTGTTATGTACACGTGATAATAGAAACAAATTTGGGCAAGTCTATTATCAGATTTTCCTCGTACCAGCTTCGTACCTACCTAACATTAGGTTCCCTTTTAAAATCCTGCCACGTGTCCTCTTAATTAATTAATTACGAAAATAATTAAAAAACAAGCTTGTGTAAGTACTTAAGTACCCTTAATTAAAAAAAAATTATAAACTAGGGTGTTTAACTATTATTTTATTTTCATTCTACCCTAATTACATTTACATATTCCATTTAGGCAACGAATTGAAATTAAATTGCATTCTATCTTGAACACAATCAATCATCTTCATCTTCAACACAATTAGATGTCACGCATAAAAAAAAAAAGATCTTTCTTCCCCGTCGAAGTGAAAAGCTTGCTTTGAATGCTTCTGTATTCAATCATTCATCGGCATCGTGAAAACAGAATTTATGATGAATTAGATGAGTCGATCTTCAAATAAAGTCCGGGTAAATTTTATTTGGTTTGCTTATGCTTCATATTCTGAATTCTGAAATCATATTGTCAATCAATTCTGAAATCATATTCTGAAAATCATATTAATAACGATTTGATGAAGTATTGATTATCTCTTTCCAATCTCATTCTGTATCACACGCATTTATCCGATATGTTCATTATCAATATTACTAATTAATAATGTGTTCGAAATTTGATGTGCTGCTATTCCTTCATCTGGCTATCCAAATTATGTTGGCTAGCAATGAAATATTTAATGTGAGGGTGCGGTTGATTTAAGTGATTACATTGATGTATTTGTTCTTTTATTTAATAGGCACTGTACATGCTCGACGAAATGTATGAATGAGGATGATGACCCTGTTGCTAATAGAATTTGGAAAATTTCTGGCCTTTGTTGGGACGGTTTGCAAGATAAAGAAGATGACTTTAGGAAATGGTGGGCTGCTCTGATGTTGATGGATAGAGGAAATTGTAGAAAAGAGAGAATTGAGCTGACTACTTGTTATGGTGACTGTGTTGTACACGAAACAATTGGGTCTTTCAAAGAATATGGCTTGATGAAAAGAAGGTAGCAGATGGGGCAATAAAGGATTGGATAGAATATACAACTGTTAATGAAAGGGAGGAAGGAGCAGAGGAGTAATTGGATAAGCTTAAGGAGAATGACTGCAAAGGTACGACAAAGCTTTGTGCCAGTGCTGTAGCTGTCACTACTTCTGTTGGAAATGGAAGAATGGAAGTCTTAGTTCAAGATTTTTGTTCTTCTGGTTTGTAATTAATTAGATATAATTGTAGCTTGGTAGCTTTTTGGGCGCCTTTTTTTATGTATTGTTTAGTCTTTTTTGCTGTTTGTGTTTTGAATAGGGATTGCTGGTAATGGTAATCCCCCCTAAGCTTTTGTATTGTATTTTGTGGTGGGTCTGTTATGAGTCCAATCTTTGATTGGGTTTGTACATTGTTTTGAGGTGGTTATAAAATTTATACGTTTGGAAAAAAAAAAGAGGATGATGACCCTGTTGTTATATCTTGTTGTGTTGGTGTTGTGCAATGATTTGAGATCTTTGTTCAAGAAACTCATTTTTTATTCAAGAAACTCGTTTTTTGTTCAAGAAACTCGTTTTGGTTGAAGAAATTGTTTTTTGTTCAAGAAATAGCTTATTGGTCAAGAAACAGGTTTATTGAGCAAAAAACGGGTTTCTAGTTCAAGAAACATGAGTTTCTTGTTCAAGAAACTCATTTTTTGTTCAAGAAACCCGTTTATTTCTCAGGGAACTAGTTTCTTGAGCAAAAAAAGGGTTTCTCCTTCAAGAAACTCGTTTCTTGTTCAAGAAACTCGTTTCTTGTTCAAGAAACTAATTGTTTGTTCAAAAAACCCGTTTATTTCTCAAGAAACTAGTTTCTTGAGCAAAAAACGGGTTTCTTGTTCAAGAAACTCGTTTCTTGTTCAAGAAACTCATTTTTTGTTCAAGAAACCCGTTTATTTGTAAAGAAACTAGCTTCTTGAGCAAAAAAAGGGTTTCTTGTTCAAGAAACTCATTTTTTGTTCAAGAAACCCGTTTATTTGTAAAGAAACTAGTTTCTTGAGTAAAAAAGGGTTTCTTGTTCAAGAGACTCATTTTTTGTTCAAGAAACCCGTTTATTTCTCAAGAAACTAGTTTCTTGAGCAAAAAAAAGTGTTTCTTCTTCAAGAAACTCGTTTCTTGTTCAAGAAACTCATGTTTTGTTCAAGAAACTAGTTTCTTGAGCAAAAAAAGGGTTTATTGTTCAAGAAACTCATTTCTTGTTCAAGAAACTCATTTTTTTTGTTCAAGAAACTACTTTTTGGTTCAAGAAACCCGTTAATTTCTCAAAAAACGGGTTTATTGTTCAAGAAACCCGTTTCTTGTTCAAGAAACTAGTTTCTTGAGA